CCCCTGTTCTTTAACATTAGCCGAAGATAGCCTTAACGAAAATGAAAAAGTTTATCGCTTATTCGCAACGTGTTAGAAACAACACGAAAGATCACAATGGATTTACGGCTCAAATAATGATGACGGCAGTCGAGATGACATCTTACTCTACAGACTTCCTCACCGCATAAGCATTAAAACATTGAGTTCTGATAGATAAAACGAACATTAGTCCCACTGTCTTTGAAAGGCCGAGGTCCAAACTGAAATGGAATGAGGAATATACTATGCTTACAGAAAAAATTTAACTTCTACTTTACTGTACTTTATACAAGATCTCTAAGTAAAAATGAATCTTTAAATTGAAGTTCATTACGCTGTATTCATATGACGAGAAATCTGTTCACTATCTTTACATGAAGCGAGCTTTAAAGCCGCAGCAGAACGCGAGTAAAGATGAAAATGGAAAAATAGGCTATATAATAAAGAAACTCAGAAATTGTTTACAAAAAGTACAGTTTTTAACCACCACCAAGAAATATATTCCTTATGTTATTTTATGATTATGCAACTATAAATATCACGATTTGGTGGTTTCTTAAGATGACCTCTTGGCACTGAATACCTTCTTGAATAAGAAGGCATTCAGTGGCATCATATTAAGTCCAATTACTCCCAATTCTTCCAAGCCTCGAAGATAATACAATATAAAAATTAATCTTCGAGGACTTACAGAAACTGTTCTTTTTTTCCTTTCAACATGAAAAATATATTTTTTAAGGTGCCTGACTAGTTGAGGGAACACTTTTTTGAAATAACGCTGAAAGTTCATTTTTAAACTCATTTTTGGTTTGATTATAACTGAAAACATAAAAATAACAAAGAAAAACAATTTTTAATATATTTTTGTAAGAAAATGGACAATTTTAGGTTAAAATTAGGCATTTTTCACACATCACGGTAAACACTGTAAAATAAATTCTAATGCATAAGGTGAAACAAAGCTGTTTGAATTTTATTCAAAAAGCGTTTACCTATACTTTGCTCTCTCATCTTTGAATAATTTCAATTTATTACAAAATTAGGGATCAAAAAGTGCACAAAATGAAAAATTTTCAAAAATTTTGCGTTTATCACAAAGAAAAACAATAAAAAATGTATATATAGTTTTTTTCTTATTTTCTAGTGCACAGTATGCATACTATAATAAACAATGATGCTAAATTCCATGCAATTATCTCAAGGACTTTTTGAGATATCATGTTTGCCATTCGATGAAATATGGAAAAATCTGTTTTGGAGAAAAACGCATTTAAAGATTTAAAATCTAAATCTTAAAAAATTATACATCTAAAACCTAACCAATAAAACAACCTAAAACCTCTTTTATATCAAAAGGATAAAACTTTTATAAGCCCATATCAGTATTATATATTTGTTTCAAATTCTTTTTTTTTTAAATTTTGTTACCAATTTTATAGATTCAAAAAAGCTTTTCTCTTAACGTCTAAATGCATAGTTTTTTTTAAATACAAATTGGAGATATAAAAAGCACACTAGAAAAACTTTATTACGTTAAAGAATAATATTTTTTATATGGAAAGACAGCTATATATTTCCACTAAGTATTTTAGAGCTTATGAAATATATAATATAAAATATATTAATGTGTGTTATTTTGTCAGTAAATATTACCGAAAATTTCTTTTAAAAAATATTACTTATCACAAAGGTTATAAAAAATTATAATGAAAAGCATATAAAGAACAGTTTTTAAAACCTCCATATGAATACACTTTGACTTTTTTTTCATCCTTAGTAATTTTGTTTTTTCTGCAGCTTTTTTTCCCCCGAGAAAATTTTCTATATTCTAAGGGGTGTCCCACAGAAGTCAAGATGCGTTCCATATCAAATTTTACAAAAAGTATTTGCATTTCTAATTATATATATATAATGATAATAAACCTGTATATCACAAATTAGAAGGAATTAACGTTAATAATGCACTTAAGCGAAATGTTTTAAGTTTAATAATTGTATCTTTAAGTAAAATACTCCATAAAATGTTACTGAAAAAGGCTTTCTGAGTAAATTTCGAGACATTTATGAATAGATTTCAACTTTTTGTCACCAGCTGACTAAGTATTATTGGGATTAGCTCTGCGTCAACATTCTCATTACTGCTAGCACCCATGATTAAGCAAATTCCTTAGACCTCCCAGACCTTGCTTTAGGCTAATTAATTAATATTTGGTCTTTAAGAACAGAGTTTTCTATCAAATATATAAAAAAAAAGTTAAATATGAAACAAAATATCGAGAAGCAAGGACATACAAAAAAACCAAAAATGTCAAAAATTTTATGAATTTATTTGCCAAATTTCGCTTGAAACTAATAAATTATTTTTTTTAAAAAAAAGCCCTATGTCCCGTCATTACCTTACCTAAGTTAATATTTTTTTAAATAAATTCGATAAACACCAAAAAAGTGTAAAAATGTATTAAAATGCAAACACTTCCGGTTTCGATATCTTACTTCCGGTTCGTTTTTGCTGCTCTCTCTTGACATAAAAACTTCGTAAATAATTGAAGTACAAACAAAAGTAAAGTATTTTTAGAAAGCAGAAAATTCAACTAAATAAAATTTAAAGTAAAAAAAAATTCGTCATTTTCATCAAAATTGACGTTTTTGCACTAGTCAGGCACCTTG